GGAATGCATGGTTGCCAGGAGATGCTTAGCACATGCTGCCATGAGACCGCTTTGGCACACTTTCACGAGCGCGACGGTCGGCAAAGGTTTGAGGGTGGACGTGATGGTTTTCAAGTCTCGCGTGGGCCACACGGAAAGGAGACCTGGTGGTTTATAAGGATAAGAACGCCGATACACTGCCCCGAGCGAGTTCTTTGTCGGTTCAAGGGACAAAGAGAACCGCAAGCAAGGAAAGCAAAAAACGGGGGGGGGGGGGGGGCAGTTGGGGGCCTTGCGGCGATGCCTCTCCTCAGCTAACGTCAGTTTGTGCCCCACCGCTTCGCGTTGCTTATCCTAATTGCTCCAGGCGTAGTAGAGTACCGCAGGGTGCTCGTTGCCCTGTCCCCTGTCCCCTGTTGCGACTGAGCAGCACACAACCGAGAGCTGCCAATACTCATCCGACGAGCATGACACAAAGGGTTTGTAGAGAGAGCGCCGTCTAACCGCCGTCGGTGGAAGGAGGAACGGTCGGTACAACAGCCTCGAAAAACGAAGGCGACCACAAAAACGATTGCGCCGCCGGCTCCGCCATATGCATACCCCGCGCCCACCACCCCCATACGCAGCAGACCCCTCCCCCCCCCCTTTTCTCGCCTGCTTGAACTGGTTAAACTCCTTGGCCTCGTTGTTGTTCCTTCGCCGCCTCTCCAAGAAGCGCAGCTGGCCGCCCTCGATCGCCTCACGGGTGTCCTGGCGCACCCCCTTCAGCTGCTCGCCGACGGAGACTAGGTCGTCGCAGCGCCGCTTGATGCCACCCTCGAGCACCGCCACCTGGCCCCTGTCCAGCCGCTGAGGCCGGGTGGTGAACGACTGCCGTTGTGCCGCAACCCGCCACCCAGAGAGGGAGAGAGAGAGAGAGAGAGAGCGCGCGAGTGGCCAGACGTCGCGTGGACGAAGAGAGAAGACACAGGAGAGAGGGGGGGGGGAGGGAGGCAGAGGAGAGACAGAAGGACAGAGAGACAGTGAGAAGGTGTTGGGATTGCAGCAGCGACAGCAGGAGCTGCGGCGGTCTGCGCGTGCCACAAGGCCCGCCGGCCAGGCAGAAGCAACAAGACCAAACCAACGACGGGCTTGGCACTTGGCACATGACACCACACGCCGCCGTCGCCGCGGTAAGTGGCGCCGGGAAATCGTCGGTCGGTCCAACACACAGCAAACAACCCCCGATATGATGGGTTGCGTTGCGTGCGGAATTCGGGTTTGCTTGCGAGAACGGCGTTCAAAACGTATGTACCGATGGTATAACAGCAGCAGCAGCAGCAGGGGAACGAGTCCACCACGGCGTCTCTTCTCTGTTCTCTTCCCGAAGAAGACACTCCCGCACCGTCGTGCGTGCCGCGACCCCCGAAACACAAAGTACTCGACACAAACGACATGACGTCGTGCACGATTTGCCTAGTACCACCTTCAACAACAGACAGACCTCTGGGAATGTTTCGAACCGGGAGTCTCTCCGTGATTGTATGAATACATTCGAAGCATAAAAAAAAAAATCACGTCCCCCTTGTGTGTCTTGTCTCCTCACCCTGATGCTGTCGATCGGGATCCCCACGAGACCCAGTCCCCCAAAGAACACGAACAGGATCCAGCCGACGAAGGACATGAGGGCCATAACGAACACGGGGAAGGACAGCTGCACACCCGCACACCCGCACACCACACGACACCGCCCAGCCGGGTCACCATGGATCGATCGCCCGGGTAGCCATTGGACAACCAACCGCGGGGGCGCACCGATGTTTCGGAAGAAGGGGGGCGGGGGCAGAGAAGGGTGTCAGCACAATCGGGGCAAGGCGTAAGGCATCGACGGGGCACGCACGCAGGATCCCAAACCCTACTACTGTAGGATACACTGAAACACAAAAATATCGACGCCAGGCAACAAAGAGGGTACGTATACATGCTGCAGGTTTCTCCCACTGGAAGAAAAGGCTCACTTGCCACGGGACCCTCACGTACGTCTTTCCAAAAAAAAAGCAAAACTAAAACAACGGGTAGTGTTTTTGGACGAGGTTCGTGTCTTGATTCCCTCCGTGCGGTAACCCGGCATCGACTGCATATATCGAGGGCGGCGTTGATGTCTATACAGCAGTATGTGTCCTCTCGGTCTCTTGTGGATTCCGCCGCGTTTTTCGTGTGGTCATGTCAGAACCCGGGGAGGCGGAACAACAGCGGCGGCGGCGTGACCACGATCTACGCACCTACGCGCACAACTGCCTTGACTTCGCAAAACCGATTACTTTTCCCTTTCGTGGAAGCACGTGCTTTGGAGCATCTGGACAAATTCTTTCAAGACGCCGAACTGCCTCTCCGCCTGCCATTATAATTTTCCAGGAAACTTCTCACTGGTCGAACGCGCAAAGAAGGAGCCCTCTTTTCCTTACAAACCCATCTGGTTGATATTTTTCTGTCAAACTCCGGAACGGAAAAAGTCGAAAGAACATGCCCTTGCCAAGCAGAACTAACTCACCTGCAGCACCACGGAGTCTTCGCTGTCGATGATGGCCTCGGAAACCACCGAGCGGTCGACCGTCAGGTCTTCCGTGACCCCGTTGCCCTGCAAGATGTCGATACGGTTGCCCAAGTCTCCGGTGCTCAAGAGAACCGGCATGTCGAACTGTGAGCGACAGCGAAAGAGGGGGGGGGGAGGGGGGGAGGGGGTGGTGCGCGGTGGAGACACTCAACAATCACTAGGATACGAACTATTCGAGTGCTTGTGCGGGAACGAGATTCCCTATCCGCCATACCAACACGCCAGGTTTAGAGTGACCCATCTACCTCGAATCACAACACCGTTTCCATGGATGGCCGCTGCATGCAAGGGGGGAGCACCACCGCTTTCGAGGGACGAGGGCTCCCTGCACCTCTTGGTGCCCATGTAGCTGCTGTAGCTGTACATGGACGACTGTTTCACGGAGTTCCAGACGTACAGTACGTGTGCTGTCGTGACATAAGCAAAATTATTCCATAGAGACGGCCGCGGAACGATAACCGCCTCTCGTCGGCAAGCAACACGCCAGCAACACACAATTCCGGCACGTACGCCCCCCCCCCGCCCCCTCCCACACCTCGCACAACTGCTCACGGCACAAGCGTACCCACTTTACTATTTAGAGGTGCAGAGGGGGGAGGGCGCGACAATCGAGATTGGCCGCACCTGTTCTCGACACTAACCGATTGGCCATATCTGATCTCGACGGCAACCATCCACAAATATCCACGGGTTCGTCACCAAACTTCAACTACCCCAAAAACACCTGCCACTGCTGTGCCTCGTAAATCAACTCTGAACAACACAACAAAAACAAAATCAACAGGTTCCAAGTGACACAAACCGATCCCAATAGCGCTCTGCCATGATCAAGCCTTTTCCGGGAGAACCAGTCACACGAACGAACCTCGCACCGTTCCCAACCAACCAACGGCAGACAGCCTCTCCGTACGCTCTCCCCTCCCTCCCTCCCTCCCTCCCTCACCTCGAAATCCCGAACCGGCACGTCCGACTGTCCCAGCACCACGAACAGGATGCCCGAGACAAGGGCCACGATCACGACCACGCCCACCATGTACTTCGTCGCCGAGCACAGCGCCTTCTTGCAGTCGTTGCGACCCCTGACGTCATCGCAACACATGTTCAATTGCTACAGTGGTTAGTTTTGTTGCACGATGTTTGGTTCCGTGCAACAACCAACGAGAGTTTGCGGAGTCCGCGGAAGAAAGCAGTACAGGGGCGTTCGGCTAGGACAGAGAAGGGGCGGGCGATATCGGGGGGGGGGGGGGGGGGGGGGGGAAGGGCCCCCCTGGGGAAAAAAAAAAAAGGAAATTTTTGGGGGGGGAAACCCCCCCGTTTAAAAAAGGGAAGGGAACACCCCCCAAAAAAAATTTTCCCCAAAACCCCCCCCCAACCTCAAAATTTTTCGGGGAAAAAAACAAAAAAAAAATTTCCTT